ATGATTGACAGTCCGTGACGTCTGTTGAGACGAGGAATTTGCGGGGGTTTCAGTTTTAGTTGTGTTATTCCGCCGATGCGGGGAAATTGGGTATGTGCATTAATTTATTTTACTATAATTTCTAAATCTTTAATTTATTGCTAAATTAATTAAAAAAAATAAATTGAAATATAAAATATCAAGTGAAATCACGCGCTCTGATGGTTGACAAACATAAAAATATTGAGCAGAAAGAAATTGTCAATGGTTAAGAGTCTTGTACGTGTTGTTGACTCATATCTCCAACATTTGCGTGAACTGTCGAGTTTAACACTCAGCTCTCTCTGGTCTTCTCCAATCAGCGTCAATTCTACAAAATTTGTGTCTAATCTTCCTCTTTTCACATGACGGGATCTCCCATACCACTTCCTTCTTGCTTTCTCAATACTCCAAATGCCTTCTTCTTCCTCTCCACCCTCCTCTCCCAATGTTGCAGAAGCTTTAACTCCCGCCAAAACTACGCCCCATTCTTTTACTGTTAGGAAGCTCACCCGCCAGAGAAAGCTCAGGCATGTTTCCATCGACGATCTCGGCCTGCAATTCTCTGACTTCCCTTATAAATTGTCGGCTTCCCCCGAGTTGACTCGCAAATCTCCCTCTCCGACTGTCTCCGACCACTGGTCTTCTTCCGCCGTCCCAAAGCCACTGCCTCTTCCTGCTTCATCTTCGCTCCGGAAACCGAATTCGTTGGGCTCCAATTCGCCCGGAGAAGGCCCGGGGGGTGTGTTGGCTAGGTAATTAAACTTGTTTTATTTTACTATATTAAATTAGTTAATCTTGTACTCAAATGAATGCTTATTGTTTCAAGAGTTGTCCTTAGTTTTTAAAATTGGGAATCTTTGAAGTAATTAGACTTGTGAAAAACATGTAGTTTGGTAGATTTTGTTTCACATTATTTGGATGAATGCTTTTTGTTTCTCCTTAAGGGATTCACAGCGATTGCTTATAATGGACCGAATTTCAAACCTAAGATTTCTGGAAAGATGAATTTCATAGTTTTATTCGTTGGATTTGTTTGCACCTGAAAGGAAATGTCAAGAATTAGACTTTAATCCAGTCCTCTGAGAATGTAAGTTCTTTAATAGGGAAAAAATGCTATATTCCTTAATAAGTTAATTTTGGCATTCCATGTAGGCCATGAGGTGATGATCTTGTGCTTGTAAACCATATTAGCCAGATAACTATGTACCTGAACTATGGAAAACATGGCTAATTAATTACTTGCTGATTTTTATCCACAAAATACCAGGCAGAACACAGATTATATTCTCAAAAAATCAGTCAAATCTTCAGCCAATAGTCATAGAGGATGCTCTCAAGACGTAAATATTGGAAACGTTACTAGTGACTTTAGAGCAAGGGCCCCTGCAAAGAGCACACATCACACTGTTGGTCCACAAAGATCAAAGACTCTGGACTCTTTTCCTTCTCATGATATAGTGGACTCAAATAAATCGTTAAGAAATCTGCATAGAGCATTCTCCCATGACTGGAATTAAGACCATAGTTACATTTGAGATTGAATGTCCTTCCTGGGAGTGCTCCGACAGTGCATTCTCAAGTCCTGATGTCAGTCCTCAA